CCCCCAGCCCCCGCCTGACGGCCCTGTCCGTTTCGTGGACGCGTATCTGTGTGCTTTAATGCTTCACTAGCTGAGGGCCGGGGGCGCTCTGCCCAACCTCTCTGAGCTCAGTTCCCTACGTCATGAACTGCCGTAGGGCCTGGGCCAGCGCACCTGGCCGTGACCCTGACCGCCACGCGGGATAATCCCAGACTAGCTGTTCTCCCTGGGCGATTCTGCCCCCTGGGGACACTGGGTCGCGTCTGGACACATTTGTGGTGGTCACTGCTGGGGGCGCTCCTGTCATCGAGTGGGTGGAGGCCAGGGGTGCCCCTCAGGCCAGCCTCTGGCCTCCCGAACGTCCACAGTGCTGAGACTGAGGAGCCTCGTAATGGAACCTTTGGGTACTTGTGAGCATTAAGTGGGACACGCGCACGCCATGTGCTCAGAACGGGGCCTGGTGCCCAGCAAGCCCCCGGCAAATAGTGGCCAAGGCTCCCTTTACCGTCTGCTCCCTCCCTTGGCCTCGGGGAGTCAGAACGGAGACCAGGATGCTTCATTTCCAACAAGGACGCTGAGGCGCCGGGCAGGGACTTGCTGGCCCGGAGCTGGACCCGGCCCTGGTCCCCCCTGCCCACCGCCCCCACCCGCTGTGGTCTCCAAAGAAACCTCCTGCCAGAGCCGGGTCCCATAGAGCCCCGACACCGGCCGCAGTGCCGGAAGCCTCGGGTCCCGGGACTCGCACTTTCTAGAACTGGGGAGCAGCTCGAGAGGAGCACCCACACACATCCACAACGCTACGTGGGCGCGGGGTGGGGGGTGGAGAACGCCAGGGAAGGCCAAGTGCCTCCCCAAAGGCCACGGAGCCCAGCCACGGTAGCAAACCGCTCTGCTGTCCCCAGTCCTGTCGTTTCCAATGCGGTGGAGGAAGTACGTGCCACCCTGACCCGAGAGGACACGATGCCCCGTGCCTCTGACGAGGGGACGCTGAGGGCGGCTGTGTGGGTGTCAAAGCTGTCTTTCCTGGTGGAAGCTTGGGGGTGAGCCCCCCAGCATGTGCGGGGCACTGGGCAGAGCACCAGTGAGGCCTGACTTGGACCCATCACCCCTCTGGAGTCCGAACAGCCTGTGGGCAGGACCATCTAAGTCCCCACGGCGAAGGGGGGCACAGAGGCTCCCAAGCCCGAGCCCCAGGCACCCTGCCGCCACCCACAACCCAGGAGAGGCCACCCGTTGGTACCTACCAGGTGACCGGAGGCTCTCACCAGCTTGTGGGTAGAGAAAGGAAAAGCCTCGTCGCTCAGGTCTGCGTCCAGCACCTCCTGGAGAATGGCCCGGCTGTGGGCAAGAACAAAGTCGGCTGGTCAGTCAACAAACTCTTGCTGAGCACTCGTGGGCGCGGGCTCTGGGCCAGGAAGGCACTGGGGACAGAGCAGTGAGCAGGACGAGTCCCCGTCGCCATGACTCAGATGGACAACAGACAGGTATTAGTAACAGCACACCAAGAGAAGCACCTGCCAAAAATCCAGTCCGCAAGAAAGCCCGTTCAGCGGGAACGATGATGGGCGGTGAGCCCAGCCTGGGTAGAGACCAGACTCACCCGAGCTCCTGGGGCAGTGGCCTGACCGTCTAACACCCCCAAGTGCCCCCCAAGTCCCAGGGCAGGAGCCTAGTTTGCGAGTCCCCTGAGGGCAGGGGCTGCCCTCCTCACCTCCCGCACCCCAGCATCGGCACCCGGGAGTCCGGCTCTCGTGCTTGATGGGTCACCTGAGAGCTCGCTGGGCCCAAAGCTCTCACTCTCCATGGAAACCTTCACTTCTTGGGCCCCTAGCCCCCTCGTCTCCCTCCAGGACTTCGTTCACTCCTTCCTGCGCTCCTCGGCATTGCCACCCGGGTGCCCTGCCCCTGGTTAAGACTTTGTCACCCTCCAGGTCTTGGCTTGGCTGCCACCTCCTCCAGGAAGCCCTCCCCGACTCCCTGAATCTGAGGCTCTGATACATCTGACAGGGCACCTCTCACATGGCTTGTCCTTGCTCCTGTCCCAACGTGCCCGGCACAGAGGGCACACGGTAAACGGAACTGAATGACAACAGCCTGGCTCTGCACCCCAGGGTGGGCTCCCCGTTGGCAGGAGACAGCTCCCCGTGGGGGTACCAGCGGGTGCTGGGGCTGCTGGGTACCGCTGCTCAGAACGCTTGCGGCCCACCCTAATTCCCACCCCCATGGTGCTGGAGCTGCCCACCCACACTGGCCCGAGATGCCTAGCACGCTGCAGGCTGCGACTGCCTTATGTAACACACACCCCCGGCCCCCACGTGCTGCCAGCCCCCAGAGAGCCCACCTCCGGTCCTCGAGGAGCACGGCCCCTCCGTAGCTCTGGGGGGTGGCCGGCGTCTTCCCTGCCTGCTTCCCGGCAGGGGCGGGAGCCTGGAGCTGCCGCCTGGGCCAGGCCGAGGGTCTGTAGGGGGTCAGCAGAGCTCCGGGTAGCCCTGGGCACCAATCTACCTAACGTGGGCGGGGGCGCAGGAGGCTGTCCCTCCATGAGAGGGACAGCAGGTGACGCTGGAGGGCACGGGCCAGAGACGCAGGTTCAAGTCCCGGCTCCCCTGCTCACCCCTGGCCTCCCCCCCCCCCCC